CATGTATCAAATATATAATACATCAACAGTTACATGTATTAAATATATGATACATCAAACAGTTACATGTATCAAATATATAATACATCAACAGTTACATGTATTAAATATATAATCCATCAACAGTTACATGTATCAAATATATAATCCATCAAACAGTAACATGCATTAAATATATAATCCATCAAACAGTTACATGTATTAAATATATAATCCATCAACAGTTACATGTATCAAATATATAATACATCAAACGGTTACATGTATCAAATATATAATCCATCAAACAGTTACATGTATCAAATATATGATACATCAAACAGTAACATGTATTAAATATATGATACATCAAACAGTTACATGTATCAAATATATAATACATCAACAGTAACATGTATCAAATATATAATCCATTAAACAGTTACATGCATCAAATATATGATACATCAAACAGTTACATGTATTAAATATATGATACATCAAACGGTTACATGTATTAAATATATGATACATCAAACAGTTACATGTATCAAATATATATAATCCATCAAACTGTTACATGTATTAAATATATGATACATCAAACAGTTACATGTATCAAATATATAATACATCAACAGTTACATGTATCAAATATATGATACATCAAACGGTTACATGATTGTATCAAATATATGATACATCAAACAGTTACATGTATCAAATATATAATCCATCAAACAGTTACATGCATCAAATATATGATACATCAAACAGTTACATGTATTAAATATATGATACATCAAACGGTTACATGTATTAAATATATGATACATCAAACAGTTACATGTATCAAATATATAATCCATCAACAGTTACATGCATCAAATATTTAATACATCAACAGTTATATGCGCATAAATTTGCAGACAATAAAAAGGTATTATTGTCAAATCTAAAAAGTGATGAGGACTTAGAACGATATATGATCCAAAAATTATTAAATAACAGTTTTATCCGATTAAATAAATTCAAAAAAAAGTCATGTTATACCCAAGTTCAGTTTTTCTAAACAAATAATACTCGGAAGATCCTATAAATGAGCGGAATAAAGTGTACCCTACATGGCAGATATATAATGGGCAATGATACATGTATAATAATTATTATAACTTTGATATCAATAATATATGATAAAAGAAAGGGATATATAACTATGACAAGTATATTTTCGAGATATTGATGTTTATCATAATGAAAGCAATTGAAAGTGTGTTTTACGCCTATGTCTTATCATTGTTTACGTCTCCTCAACATCATCTTGCTTGTTTGTAATGATTCGTTAATACCAAAACTTCCAAACGTCATTCCAGAAGGATCAGCTGTACCTGGTTTAAAGTACTTGCCATTTAGATTTGCACGGTAACAGCCGTCATACCACCACGCACCATGATAACGAACAGCACAGTTAGTATCATAGTTGTCAGAATCATGGTCGTACGTCGAAAAGCTCATACCATTGTGATATACAAATCTATATAGAACGGAAACTGCAAGTCAAACAAGACGTTCAGTTAATGCGTAATATATGTACGTCAAACACTTTAATTTGTAAGCTTTTTAAGTATTTGATGATTTACCAATATTATTCTTTATGACATAAGAGGGGTATATCTTAGCCCATGCAATTGTATATCTTTTGTGGGTGTTTTCCAGTTTCCCACTGTAAAATAAACTTTACATGTATATACAGCCTGCTTATGACGTTTTTGACAGTTAAACTATTAATATATTTATTAATAACCTTTTTATGCGTAAATCGTGTATTCATGGCTGCACAATGTACACATTTCTTTCACGCATCTCTCTACGATGCCCCTATTTCCACTACGAAGTGATTGGAGAGTCAACCAAATTGAAAAGTCACCGCTTCCCTAATGATGACGGTTATATGTCATATTATTATACGAATTGCTTTGTAACACAATTCTAAGATTTTTGTGCGCATTATTCGTGATTTTCGTTTAAGAACATGAACACAAATTGCCAGTACGTGATTGGCCATTTACAAAGTAAATCACAAACAGAATTCTCAGACAGGTTTTGATATTGATAATTGCACATTCATTGCAAAGGAGGATTTTAAAGGAATAGTTGTACCATTTTATTTTCAGGAACAATTTGACTCTTTATGCACTCACCGTTAAGACTAGCAATTGTGGAGCCTATATGAAGAGTAAATGCCGGTCCGGCTGAAAGTGAAAAATTGTCGAAAGTTTCAAAAGCCTTTGTCCCGTCCGCCGCCTCTAAATCTATCCTAAGATTTGTACGTCCCCTGTTTGCAATTTTTCTTATCTGTTGCAGTCCTTCAAAAAGTAAAATATGAATAATTATAATATTTTTTATTTACAGAAGGTAGCACATTAAGACAAATACAGATTTGTAACACCTCGCAGCCTTTTAAATAAAAGCATACCAATCGAACAAAATAACACATGTTAACGAAATCATTTAATGGTAATCACAGTGTTATAATTTATCTTATTACATAAACTATTCATTTTCTAACAATTTATTTTATCAAAACTTTTCTATAAACACAATAGCTATCTTCACTGCATCATTTTAATATGTAATTAACATAATTAAAACTAATAAAAGTCAGGACTATGACAGACAGCCGTTATTAAAAAAAAATTATAGTAAGAAATAATGATAATTATAGTAAGAAATGTACGAATATAACGATCGTATCTTGTACATATAATACACATTTTATCGTACTGAATTTAATTTGATAAATATTTCTTGAAGTTATTTTTAAATATTGACAATTTCATTTTCCTTTAACTGTCAGTGGTATGGATTTACAAATATTCATGGCATTTAATTGGAACGTGCCTTTAGAATAGTTAAAACGTAGTTAAGACTAAACTAAAATTCTGTAAGATTTCGATCTCAGATTATTAGATATGGTAAGTAAGTCTCAGATATATTTAGGGAAAATATTACTCAGTGCTTTAAAATGTACTTGGACATCGGTGTGAAAAATACATAGTTTCTTGAAAGGCAATGTTTTGATTTTGTGTATACATTTTCAGATTGTTTTCTCATTGGAAAATCTAGAATTTTGCAAATTCGTTTTAGTTATTTGTATATTTGATATATTTATTTTTTGTTTTCTTCTTCCTTATATTACAATGATAGGAAAAAATAGAAGAAAAAAAGCATTACAAAAAAATGGAGTGTGTTATACACATTAATACTAAGCATCTTATAAGAATCTTACACTGGCTGCCGGTACAGATCGGAAATCTAGCTCGACGGTAACTGTTTACGGCGGTAACGAGGTTCTGTCGAGTTGCCGCAAAACAGTTACCCAAGAGCTAGATATTCCCGTCTGCACCGACAGCCAGTGTTTGATTCTTTTTCTTGCATATTACATATCAATTATTTTCGGAACAGAAATTACGAAAACTGATATTTTCATTACGCACTTTTTTCTTATAGTAGCGTATGAACTTACATCTTCATTCATAACGGTTAAGTGACGTCATCCTAAGCACGCAATTCATTCATAAAAGGCGCGTCAATAACGTCATTTAAAGCACGCAACTTGACTTACATGGGGGTGTAAGATAGAGTTTTCTACCACCGGTGTAAACGGTAGATAATCCTGTCTGATATGCAAGATTTTGTCAGTCGTTAATTTTTAAATTCAATACTTTCGTAATCTTTATTTTTGACTACTACCTACTAGCATCCATTTAGACAACTGAGGGTGCAAAAGCATGTTATTTAATTTACACCACTTAGTAATCCTTTTCATCGGAATAATCACAACAGAATTACATGAAAATTGCAGACTCGGTTAAAATTGACTTTGAACATGAGAGACTATGAAAAAGACATTATCTCTCACAACCACTAGCACCAGCTTGAGCAGTTCTCAATTTTCAACACTTAAAAGTGCTTTGCCAGACTATAATGTAGTTTTTCGTCTATAATTGATATGTCATCTCCAGCTGTATTCAATATGGGACCATCTTGCAAATAAGTGGGAGATAATTTACATACAGAAGAAACAGCAAAGGACCTAGAATTGATACTTTGGAACGGCAATAGTAAAATTCTGTACGTCGGATTTAATGTCTCCAATTAAATTTATTTGCATACGATTATACAAAGAACAAATAAAATCGTTTTAATGATGTTACAGAAAAAAATATAGTTTAAGTTTATATAGATAAATTCACAGTCAACTTCAAAAACGCCTTTTGCAGGTCTAAAATAAATAAGATAAATTTGCCACTTTCAACATATTTAAACCAGGGGTCTATCAAATGAATAAGGGTCGTATTGCATGAATGATTCTTTCGAAATCCTAATTGCTTATAATGTAAAAGTATTTCTTTTCTATAAAATGCTATAATAAATGACTAGCTGTATGACGTCCAAAGTCTAAGTTATTGAAGACAAAATAGAAAAAGGTCACAAGTTGCTGGGTTCATATGTCAATCAAGTCAATTTAAAAATCGGAATATTTTTTTTTAATTCTTCGGGAAATATTCCGTGTCCAATGCTTTTATTTATTTTGCATTGGAGTTACAAAGATACCGCAAGTTTTATTATTAAATTTTATAGACTATTTTCATCCAGCCATGTCCAGTCTAGTCCAGTGGCTTTATTTGCATATAGTCTTTTAATGAAGAATTTTACTTAAAATGCAGAAATGTTTTCAATTTCAATTTTAGATTCCTTCCATTTAAAGGGTAATCTAACTTATTCTTCAATATTTTGAATTCGTCGTTATATAACTGTACTTTTCGTCAAAACTAGAAATATCAAGACAATAATTGTTCTATTCATTTATAATATTGGCATGATCGTTAAAGGTATTGCCGCAAATAGTACAGGGATATATTGTTTTACCCAAATTTATTAACTTCATTAAGTTTCTTCCAGAATACCGGGAATCACTGATTACACCATTTACAACATTCAAGAATATTATGTAGACATTATGAAAACTTACCAAGCCAGAACTCACTGTGTAAATTTCCAAAACCATTTTCATATTGAGAGAAGTTCCTGTAGAAATCTACTGAACCGTTAAATCTGTACTGAAAAACCTGGTAAACAGATTGATAGAAAATACCCAAATGTCACTACATGTATCCTAATAACATGATTTCATTTAAATACTTGATAATAAAGCTCAATTCCGTAAAGATAATAGTACTCCAAACTATGTACTGGAACTTAATATACAGAGAAGGCATAACTTTTCTTATTTAACATTTTAAATAAACAATTGAGTAAGAAAATTATTCATGTCCAAACTGAACATCTACAAATATAACGCAATATATCAAAAAACAAAACTGACCGTCCAACCGCCACCATCTGTAGTCATGTCACAATAGACATCCATAATTTTATGAGTTTTCCATGTACTTATTGTATAAATTCCGTCGCCCTTATTATCCCCATGTCGCAGTATAGTAGCACAATCTGTATGGTCTACAATACACATGTATGGTAATTAACACAGTCTTACTTTTAAGTCTAACCAAAATGCATTACAACGTGATAATTGAAGTAAAAGCTATTCAATTCAAAAATAATAAAACAAAAGGATACATAACAACATTGAGATATCATTTCATATCGTCATTTGGTTATTTATTTGAATTATGTTCCTTATTGTAATAAAATTTTAAAGATTCTAGTGTAATGCAAATGTTAATGCTCAATATCCCGAATGGCGACTGCTGAGCCTCGGTAAGTTTATTAGCGACAAATATTTCCTATATCAAAACAAGACAATGGCTATCATATGAACGGTACCTTTCTTCAAATAACAATACCAAGTTTGTTCTCCTACGTGTTATATTTTTAAGAATATGTTATAGCTGTAGTAAATCACACGAGAAGTTGTGATTAATAAGAATGAGCCAAACACAAAACAAAAATGAAACTTCAAAGCAACATATGTTTTCATAGAAGTTCATACAATATCTTGTAGAAATATCCCTAATTTAAAGAATCAATCAAACAAAGCAATTTTCATCTACTTTTGTTGTGAATTATGCGTCCGGTGATCATCTTTTTTCCCACATTTTATTTCTATCTAAAATTACTTGTTTTACTTACTTTACGTCTGTAAGGAGTTTACTCCACATATCTTTTTATATAGACTTCTGCGAGAAATAATGTCAATATTACGTTATTAGATTTTGTGTTTCAGTGAAGATAGAAAGGTCTTTTTAATTTATTTTGGTACTAAATTGTAACGTCTCGTGTGATTTACTAAAGCTGCATTTGCAATTTTCACACAATTCAAACAATTTTCTCGAAAACCATACCAAATTAGGAGAACGCACTTGGTATAGATATATTCAAAAAAGTGATCGTGCATATGAAAAATAAGGTCAAGTTTGGATTTAAGAAACATTTGTCAATTTAATATTTTAAATAAATAAAGGACCCACCGAGTCTCAGCGGTCGACATTTCTCGTTTGTATAATTATACAAAGTCACGTGAATCCCCTGTCCCGTGAGAAATATTTTCAATAAAACATTATTTGGTAATCGCGATTTTGAGAAAATTATCATCACAAAATAATCAATTTTCTTGCAATAATCGGAATAAGAAAACATCTATAACCGTTACTTCTTGGTAAATCGTATTGACATTAAAATATGTTCTTTAGAATGAAAAAGTACAAATTAAAAATTATGAAAACTAGTATAATATTATATAAAGGTTTTTATCAGTGCAAAAAAGAAACTTTTTATTTTTGAAAAATATGTTGTTGTTTTTATTCGAAATGATATCGATCAATCAAGCAGTTTCAAGTTGATGTCACCACAACGTTTTCAGCTTTGGTACCGAGTGAAATAAAAAGTGAAATATTACAGTTAGTAGTAACTAAAAAAATCACATATAAAGGAGTTATAGTTTAACATAATTTTGTTTACCTTTATAACATTAATAAAAAAAAATTTCAATAACTTTTTTATTTTGCTTTTTTGGACGATAATTACATTTGTATGAAATAAAAAGGGCAATAACTCTCAAACATGCAAAAGAATTCGATGCACTTAAACAATATTCTCTTATTTGATCTATCAGTTTATGACATTTTAAGAAATACTTGATGGTCTACACTTTCCCTAGATGAAAACTATGTATCTCAGTAGTTTGTAATTGATACAGCCGATACCTTAAATAATGCACCAAAATAAAAATAAAAAAGACGATTGACTGAAGTCCGCCGGGGTTATTTCTTTGATCTTCTTTGATCCCTTTAACCAAGAAAGCAATCTCTTTCCATCCCATAACTACTTATTCCTCAAGAAGGACAAAGGAAACATACATTCATGCAATAAATTGTGCACCTGAATACATGCGGATGAACAAAAGTCAAAACGGACAACGCCAAATTCATATTTGTTCGTCTTCGACGAAACAATAAAATCATACATACTATACTGGCAATTGTTTCCGGTGTACCCTTGAGTACAGGCACAAACATAACCATTCACTCGATCACTACATGTGCCATGTATACATGGATTTGATAAACATTCATCTATGTCTGAAAAAAAATATTGCGATCAACTTGTTAAATCATACAAGTTAATTTGTTCATTTTGGCAAGATTTTTGTGTATGTGGCATCTTGTTTTTTCTTCCCTTGAACTTTAATTTGTTGGATATATCAATATTTTCACTAATTAATGTGTTTGAATAATATACAAATTTATCAAAAGCAAAAAAGTGACACTATGCCTAAACATGTGTTAATGGTGAGTGCACAGGTAAAAGCAAAAACTTTATATTTTGTTAAATTCTTTTTCTATTTAACTTTATATTTTATTTTAGCTAATAGGCATAATGTTAATAATTTATCAGTAATGTTCATTTCATATAACGAGACGGACAGTCTTTTACTACTACAGTCATTTAGTATATATATTTTATCCGGAACCTTGTTGGTCAATAACGATTATAACAGTAAAACGTTTGAAATATAGTTATTTTTAAACGGAAGCAATCGGCATAATTTTATTTTGCACAAATTATTTATCTACAGACATAAGGAGTACATGTTAAGTATTCCACAACAATTAATGATATGGGCAATAAAAAAGTCATCCATCCCATCAAGCAACAAACGGTTTTCATTCATTTTCATGACTTTGTTATGATATAACGTATTAGTTCTGGCTTCCAAAACTTTATAGGCCGCTATTTAACATTTTTGTTTTTATCTGATGCGGCATTAAAGTTTTGGATTAGACCCGTTACGAAACCTAACCAGAATAACATAAATTGATTTATTCTTGTTTTTTTACTTGCAAATACACTTGACCCAATCAATTCTTGCGCATTTTACGATAAAACAATTATTTTACTATCGTTTCTTTACCAATTAAAGTATCAACATATTAATACCGTCATTAAAATTGCCTATTTAACTGTAAAACATCAATTTACGCCGACTACAGTCGGCCATGATATTCAGGTGCCACGCGAGACCTCGTATTACGTCATTCGCGGGAACAGATTTGAATAGAGTCGTGTACTATATTTTTAACATTTTGTTGACATGATTTCGATATTTTTATTCAAGATAATGTTTTTATTTATTTTTATTAATTTTCTAGTACTTAAATATGATTTTATTGAATATAAAAGTCAGTAAATCACCTTTTTCAATATCTTTAAAAAAAGTAGTTTATAAAAATATTGGAGGCACATGGGTTCATAAAGGTCAATCTCGTAATCACGTGGTCAAACATTTTGGCAATATGGCGGCCAAGTGCCGAAATTTTTACCTGTCAGAAACTATTAGGTAGTTTATGTTCGTAATGTCCATCCTTGGCTTATCAACATATTATATATAGTTTTATCAAGGTATGCTTCACTTTACTTCATGGCATGTTCGATGAATAAATACGAGCGTGTCAGATTCCTGGCACGATTATTGGTGGACTTTCCCTACGGGGTTATCTTCAGCGTTCACGTCATGTCATAGTATATAAACGTGTACGCTGAAGACCTTAAGCTAATAACGTATATATTACAAAAAAGGGAGACGACACCAGTAGTGCCAAAGAATGTTCTACTCGGTTGCAAAAACGAAATTTAAAAGATAAATCCTTACAAACAATTTCAGAAATTAGAGCGATTTACCACCTGGAAAGCGATTGTAATATGTAATATAGAAACTCATTCTTTATGGAGCAGAAAAATAAAAGAAAGAAAACGTTAGAGTACAAACCGTGTTGACAGTTGCTTCCATTGTAACCTTGATTACAGGTACAAACATAACCATTAACTCGGTCACTACATGTTCCATGTATACATGGATTGGATAAACATTCATCTATATCTGAATAAAAAAGAGATATTGCGTTAACACTTGTTAAATCATACAAGTTAATTTGTTCATTTTGGCAAGATTTTTGAGTATTTGGCATCTTGTAATTTATTCCATTTGATCTTAAATTTGTTGGAAATTCCATTCAATTTTTTCACTAATTTTCGTCCTCCCGTACTATGCCTCTTTACGTCTAATGCAAACTTAATATTTTCTGATTCTTACTCATTATTGTCGGCTGCGATCTGTTTTGTCAATTGCGCTCTTGTGTGTTGCATTACAAAATTAAAGTTTCTAATTTTCTCTTTAAGAAAACACATTTAATGTGTTTGTTTGATAAATAGATTTCTTAAAGGGACATTATGCGTTTTCATGCGTTTAAGGGTGAGTGCACAGGTAAAAGCAAAAAACTTCATATTTTGTCTGTTCTGTTAATTGCACTAAGACGTGTTAAATTGTAATATCAAAAATTCTAATTTTATCTTCTTGAAGACTAAATAAATGTGTTTATATTATAAATACATTTCTCAAAGCCTTAAAGTGACTTCATACCTGTGTTAATGGTGACTGCACAGGTTAAAGAAAAACAACATTATATTTTATTTTACATTTAACTTTACATGTACAATCAAAAACCATGTGACTCAGGACATTATATCTATAATTTATCAGTTATGTTCATTTTATATCAAGAGTAGGACAGCAATACGTTTGAAATGTATAGTAATATTTTAACAGAAGCAATCAGCATAATTTCACTTTGGACAAATTATTTATCTACATGCATAAAGTTTTCCACAACAATTAATGATATAATAACACATTCTGTTAAACAACAAATTTTCAAAGTGTTCTTACACTTGATAAAGAGGATTGAAGATGGTATACATAGAAAAAGGGAGAAAACATTAGTGTCAAGAGAATGTTCTACTCTGTTGCGATAACGAAGTGGAAAAGATATATCCTTATACACAATTTGTGAAATGATGGCGATGTACCACCTAATAAAGCGGTACTAATCGTTATAAACTTAAGTCATGTTATTTGGAGCAGAAATGAAAACGTAAAAAAATTTTAGAGTACATACCGTGTTGACAATTGCTTCCATTGTATCCTTGGTTACAGACACAAACGTAACCATTTACTCGGTCAATACACGTTCCATGTACACATGGATTTGATAAACATTCATCTATGTCTGAAAAATTATGATATTGCGTTAATGCTTGTTCAATCATACAAGTTAATTTGTTCATTTTGGCAAGATTGTTGTGTATGTAGCATCTTATTATTTCTTCAATTTGATCTTTATTTTGTTGTATGTTCAATTATTTCCACTAATTGTAATCCTCCCGTAACATTATGATGCATGTCAAGTTTATTTTTGACGTCTGTTGCAGACTTCATAGTTTCTGAGGGCTGTGATCTGCTCTGTTAATTGCGCTCTTACTTGCTGAGTTGTTGTATCAAAGGTTCTAATTTTATCTTTATGAAAACTCAATTAAATTGTTTATTTTATAAAAAGATTTCTTAAAAGCGTAAAGTGAAATTATGCCTATACATGTGTAAGAAATAAGTGCACAGGTAAAAGCGAAAAAAAAATTTTGTTATTATAGTCGTTTTCATTTTTACAATTTTCTTAACATGTATAATCAATAGCCCATGTGACTCAGAACATAATCTTTATGATTTATCAGTAATATTCAATTTTTATAAAGAGTAGCACAGTCTGTTTATACTTAAGTCATATTATACATTTTATACTGAACCTTGTTGGTCTTTGAAATATATAATATATAAATAATATTTTAACAGAAGCAATCAGCATAATTTCACTTTGGACATATTTTTATCTACATGCATAAAGAGTTAAAATTAAGTTTTCCACAACAATTAAAAAAATCACACATTCTATCAAACAACAAATTTTCAAGGTTTTCTTATAAAAGATGATTGAAGATGATATACATACGAACAAGAGGAAAACATCACTGTCAAGAGAATGTTCTACTCTGTTGCGATAACGAAGTATAAATGATACAATATATTTATAAACAATTTAAGAAATGAGGGCGATTAACCGCCTGAAAAAGCGGTACTAATCGTTTTAAACATTTATCATATTATGTGGAGCAGAAAAGTAAACGGTAGAAATCATTGAAGTACATACCGTGTTGACAATTGCTTCCATTGTATCCTTGGTTACAGACACAAACGTAACCATTTACTCGGTCAATACACGTTCCATGTACACATGGATTTGATACACATTCATCGATGTCTTAAATATACAAAAACATGACAATGAAAGTATATGATGGTGTTTTACATATTATTACTTCATAAAAAATGTATCCAACAATGGAAATATTCACGGAACATGATTACAAGTAATTGTTTTTTGATAATTTATTTTTTTTAAATAATATTTCATGTTAAAATAATCCAAGAGTGAATGCCGAACTAGTTTGTCATGTATATCTGTTTTGTTAATAACTGTTTCAAAATTCAAATTTCAAAAATTATTAACAATCATAATGCATTCTATTGCTGTACATGTCAAAGTTAAAAAAAGAAATTACACTATATAGTTATATATATATAGTTATATAAATATATTCATGTATTTTTTTCTGTAAAAACATTAAAATATAACTGTAGCAGTTTACTAGAAATTTGTCGAAACGGACAACGAGACAACCTTTTAAATATACAATTAATTCAGTAATAAAATGTATAAGATATTTAATTAAATTGACTATCATATTGATTAGTCTAATTTTTTACTTTTTTATTTTTATGAGCTTGAACTTATAATTTGTATCATATTAAATCCAAAAAGAGTATATGTAAACTATTTGGTTCATTTAAAACGATATCACCTTTGTCGCATATACTTCCGGTGAAGCCTGCAGCACATTCACATCTGAAGTTATGACCGTCAGATTTGCAAGTACCATGGTTACAAGGATTTGACTGACATGGATCTGTAAAATAACAAATTTGAAAAAAGCACACTCAGTGCTTCGATACTAGGAAAGGCTGGAACAGACAAAATAGAAATAGAATATGATAGCAATGCCCTCGCACATTACACATACTTTATTTTAAATTCAATTATTTTTACCAAAAATTAAAATATATTTTACAAAAATGATATTGCAATTCAATTTATATAAAACCAAGCGATAAAGTTACAGGATAAATTAAAAACACAATTATGTTGGTAAAAATGAAAAAGAAATGCTACTTGATGACAATAAATAGCTAGAATAATTTCTTTGCAAAATTACCAAACTCATAATGATCAGTAATTAACTTTCAGATGTGATTTCTATAAATACAAAATGTTTTTGATTTTTAAATGCATTTTGATTATGTTTAAAGTAAATCTCATGTTTTTAAAACTCATTATTGCTTAAGACGGATCTTAAATAATTTCTGCATCAATAAAAGCATAATTATGTGACTTTTTGCCGAACTGCACTTTATCCCCATATACTTTTTCACAAAAGACACTTCATTATGTGTGCATATATAGACATCTGGGATGTTAATAAAATTTAAGGAAAAGCGACTTATTGCACATTATATTTTTTTGTAATCTTAAAAAGAAATGATCAATTATACCTATAAGCAGCTGGGCTGTCGTGCAATTTTTATTGCACAGATCTTCTGAACAACAAGAATCGCATATGTGTTGCTCGTGACTTCTTTTGTCCATACTGACGTCACGTTTTCCAATGATAGCCACGTGGTTACCTTCCATCGGTTTACAAGCCTAGAAAGAAAGACGATGTTCCTACTGCTGCTGCCGATAATGAGGATGATGATGATGATTATTATGAAGAAATGATGATGATGATACGTAAAGTTATTGCAATGGAAATAATTAAGTGTCAAAATGCAACAAGCAGACGAATAAAACATGCAAAAAGCTTTATTAAACGAATTTAGAACACCTGCTTTCTAATCTTGTTTGAAATATTTAATATTCTTGCTTAAACCCCTATCACACTAGGGCGGCGTTCTCACGGCGTCCAAAAGAAACTTCAGAACGCCGAGGTAAGCGCAGTGAGATCGCAAATTTCCGCCGCTTCTCCACAAAAGTGGCATCGCATAGAACGCTGACAGCATTTTGAGCATGCTTAAAACACACGCCGTCACTCGGCGTCCTGATAAAGACGCAGTGGGGTCGCAGTAAGGACGCCTCAGTTGCATCTCCTTCAACTCAACAAGAGCGCCATGAAAGCACAAACGAAACGCCGGAAAAATGCAGTTGTTATCTACGGTCCTTGTACGGAGATTGTGCGGCGTCTCTATCGCACTTATACTGCATGTGGGCAGAACTTTTACGGAACTTTACGGTTTCAGGGCAGTGTAAGGGCTGCGCGAGTGCCGTATGAGCGGCGTGACAGCGCTGTGGAAGCGCAAAGAACGCAGTAGAAGCACAGACATTAAAACGCCGTAATAACATATGTCAACAACGTTGAAGCTCCGTAGCATCGCCATGATTGCCTTGAGGACACCGTGAAGACGCCGTTAAGTAGGTATGTCATCAAAAATATCACATGTTTGATTGTGATCTCGCAGCGCTTTGTTTAACCCATGTGTCTCTAGGCGGCGTTCTAACGGCCGAACGCCGAGGTGAGCGCAGTAAGATCGCAAACATCGCCGCAGCATCGCGACAGCATCGCAGTGGCATCGAAACGCCGACCGACGGCGCGTGTTTTGAGCCTGCTCAAAACGAACCCCGTCACTCGGCGTTCTGATAAGAGCGTAGTTGGATCGCAGTAAGGACGCCGTAGCAACTCAGAAGCATCTCCTACAACGCAACAGGAGCACCTCGAATACACAGAAGGATCGCTGAACGAAAGCCGTAATTAGCTATGGCGCTTGTACGGAGATAGTGTGGCGTCTCTATCGCGCTTTATCTGTGTGTGTACGGCGCTTTTACGGAGCTTTATCTTTCTAAAACTCTCTTTCTGTGACCTTACAGCACTTTCACGGCGACCATTGCGCACTCAAGGAGAATCTTCTGCGTTCATCTGAAATTGGTGAATACGGTACAGTAAAATCCCTACTTTAGACCATCCCGGAATTAAAACCAACCCCCTATTTAGACCAGTATTTAAAAGAACAGAATCGTCTGTTATTTATGTTAATGATAACATGACCCCCACTTATCCACTTTAAATACCACCGGTTTCAGCCAAAATTCATTATTTTAGTTATCTAACCCCACTTTTGAGACCACTTATATTCCAGTCAATACCCATTCAGATAACAAGTTTATCTGCTTGAATTCTCTAATGCATGGCACTTGATGAAGCAATGTGTTAAAACTGTTGCGACTGGAAAATTGTATAAAGGTGAGAAAATAATTTCAGATTAGTTTAATGTTACTTTCTGCACATGTATTTTGTGGAGAATTAATTTCTAAATTAGTACGTGAATTATGTACATTAAACAAGACCTATGAAAATTTAATCTATCTATTAAATATCTTCAATCTAATGGTCTTCTTATTATTATAACATCAGATTATAATAATATTTGAAGGTCATAATATAATTGTTTAAATATGTTTATACATGATAGTTCAAATATAGTGGTAATGAAATATATATGTCTTGATAATTATATCCACAATTAAGACCACCCGCTATTTAACCACTTGAGTCCCTTTGGTTGGCATAAAAGAGGTTTAACTGTATATATAGAACGGGTTTGCAAGTAAATGTCCTTTAAACCATGTATGATAATCGGCAGCAGGATGAAATACTGCTTACTTGCATGCAAATTGTATTCCAATTTCAGATGAACGCAGATGGAAGCGCAAAGAACGCAGTAGAAGCCCAGCCCAAACGCAGACAATCGCCAATATAAACGCTGTGGAAGCTCCGTAGCAACTTCATGATCGCCGTGCGGACACATTTAAGTCTCCATATCATCAAAAGTATCAAATTTTTCTTGTGATCTTGCGGCGCTTTGTAAAATTTAACAACGCTGTGCAAACGCAGTAAAAGCGCAGTCTAGTGTGACTGGACTTTTAAATCTAACAATGCCGTGCAAACGCAGTAAACGCGCAGTCTAGTGTGGCAGAGCATTTGCTTACTAAAGTGTCAATAGGTAAATGAAGATGTTGATATGAGACAGAAAATTATAGTATTTCTGACTATATAACATTTTTTGTACGGAATATATATAAATGTCAGGGACAGTAGACACAACAAATAAATTTTTTAGGTCAGAAACCTTATTTTCATTATGTCATTATGACAAATGAAATTGCAAAATGGCAAGAATTATTTATAGATAATGTAAAAATAATCGATAATTAATGACAAAATGTCTCACGTGTTTAGATATACAGCTACTGGTATACACAGTCTCTGAGAACATATTCTTTCCAACAATATTACACACCTGAAAAATTATAAACAAACTGAAAGCTATATAATGCAAGACCATAGTGAAAAAGGGATATTATTCCTCTAAAACGTTCTCACAAAATGTACAAATATCATCATAATGCTTTCGTTTTGGAACAATGGTGGATGAGTTTAATTATATTGGAGCAATTGTAGGACACATTTGATTATTTTCAAGGTACTTCTCAAAACCGTGTGATTTTACACTGCCGCGTATAACCTCGTGTGGGGTAATTACACGAAACAATAACCATGTTCTTTTCCCAACAGACGTGTGTGTACGTGCGTGCGTGTGTGTGTGTGTGCGTGCGTGCGTGCGTGCGTGTGTGTGTGTGTGTCTCCATACGTTTAATAAAAAATTAAGTCCAAACTTCTTCGAACAATGGATACAGAAAGTAATTTTAGCTACAATGGTTTGCGTGCAGTGATAATAAACTTTTAGCATATCATTGCAGCGTTTTCATTTCTTTATGTCATTCATTCACTCATTAATTGATTCATTCATTCATCTGTTCACAATTTAGTTTAAGATCACTTACTTCTCCTGTAGAGCAGAATTCAATATTATGACACTTCCCACTGTCGGTATGTAAAGGACAGTTATAGCATATAGGTCCCCTATGCTCTGGGTAACCTTGAAAAGATATTAATGCATACCATAATGATATCGTTTAAAACAGCATTTGAAAAACAAGTGTAAAACAATATATATAAACACAACTCTTTTTTACCTTTGTCGCATTTAACATAACAATCGTATCTCCTTAAAACTATTCAGTATATAGGTTCAAATTATCAACATCCAAATTTGCTCAAATGTATCAACATCCAAATTCGAAGAAATTTGTGTGAAAAAAAGGGAAACAATTTTTGTGTCAGCCTGTCATGTCCGTTTAGGCATTTTGCTATTGATGAATTGACAATACTGTCCGATTTATTTAGATTGTAACCATAAGTATCACAAATAGGTTTTTCATCAATTTGAAAGTCTGTCATCAAGACAAAACGTATAACTATTTAGTTACCTTGTTGACTACAGCCATTGGAATTACAAAGATCTTTAGTTTTGCAGCATTCAGAACATGTAACTCCATGTCCATTTATACTTCTGGTGAAATTGTTACAAACCTATATTGTTGCAAAAATACATAAACATTGTATAAAGTAAAAATGCGTAGCAAATCTAGACAAGACTTGCATAGGCAAAATCTATTATTTGCATTAGAAAGGACATATCTTTAAAAACTCATAAATCATTAGGAAATGCATACACATGTAAGTAAAGAAGGGTTGAAAAAAACTGTTAAGAAGTGATTAATGATTGTAAATGGTAATAGGATATGTTCAAAGTTATGTTATTGTTATACTGTAATGTGGAAATATGTCTTTGGGCGACATCGAGGGTATATCTCGGAAGAATAAATTATCGGTAAAAAATAATGACGCGTAACCGTCGATTGATTAGGATTTTATCGAAAACGACTATTTAGTATTTTCTCAGGAACTGTTTTATTTTCACACATATCTTTCAAATAAAACAACATGTATTAGAAAGACACTGAAAATACGACGTAAAACATTAAACTGATATATAGAAGGCGCGAAAGCTTCAACTGTTATGTATTAGTACAGTTATTTCCTTGGTTCAAGAAAAGAAAACAGTTATAAATCAATACAGTTTGAAAGTGTAGTGAATATAATTGGTTAGAAATAACAATAAAAGATCAAATTCATGCGACAAATATGAAATAATGAACGGAGGGGCACGTGAGGACTTTCTCTATAGGAACGTCAGAAAAAATAAGTGCTGCGATATGACATTTAGTTTTAAATGTCCGTTTGACTCAAACAACCCAGCTACCATCAGTAAGTCATTATTATGTAGACTGTTACAAAAATATAAACTTATATTATTCATTTTTGTTTGCTGTTTGCTGATTTGATTATTGTTTTATCCGACATATCTTTGTTTTTCCTCTTTTGGTATAGCTATTTCAAACTCGATCATAATTTATCTTTTAAGAACATATATTTGTTTCATTATAGATTTATCTGATTAAGTAAAGTCAAAAACTAAGTGATCAATAGAAAGATTAAAATCTAACCGTACTTTACAATATATTAGATAGTTTGGACTCAAATTGGTCTAGAAATAATTTACCGTATTTTGCAGACAACCTAGGTTGTAGACAGTTTCACCAAACTCATTCAGCACTTGTTCTACACTACATGACTAAAACAAAGCAACCAAAACTATAATTCATCACGGATCTTTATTACAAATCCGTGAGTTTATAAAATTTAATGAAACAAAAACATTTTACAAACTATTAAAAAAGTATTAAAATAATAGGAACTGTCACATAATCTTTATTTAAGAACGAGCTAGTAAATTAAATTTAAATCATCGATAATTTTGAATTTATCAAAACGATGAGGCACGAGAATTATGTATTGAAAATTGTGAACGGCTAAGGTTGTACTGGTATACTGGCGGAAAAAAATGATGTTAAAAAAACCAGCATCGTAATAATAAGCGGTGTATTCATACTGCATTCATGATCTCATTTCTTGAATGCTTTATTCCTCGTTAAATTGTATTAAAGAGGGCGTCTGGGCAGAGTGCCTAAGAGTGTTGACTTCAAACCAATTGTCCCTCACATCTGTTGCTTCGGATACTGTCAAACGTAAACGCTAACGCTAATGTATGATTCGTCGGTATTTCTACTTCTATTGGGATACCCGTTCGTACCTGAGATATTGCAAGGAGGGGTCCCTGAAATCTTTCTTCACCATAATGTCTAGAAAGTGGCAAGCCCTTGGCAATATCGGTGCGTCGCTGATACCGAAATCGAGGCACAGTTTATGATATAATTGCGTTTTGTTCTGCTTTTTATTTTTCTTGGTTATGACCAAGAAATAGGTCGCCAAAAACTTTTAAAAAAAAAACGTACATTTTCTGTTGTACTAACCTCACCAGCATAGCAGTCTACAACCTTGTTGCATATCCGAGGCTTAGGAATACCTTTGCACTGTAAACATGTTAGGCCTTCAACTATATAAACAAATAAACATTTTGATAATAAAGACTGTATAATTATAATAGATAAACTTTACACACTACATTACAAAGAGAAATGCTCTTTTTTCATTATTATTATTATCAAAAATTTAAACGTTGTTGGTCGGTATTGTAGCATTTTCCACAAGCTACAAAAAATGACATAAGACAATCACTGTGGCCCAAATCAAGCCGTGATTTAACATTAAACGAATTATATAAGCCATAAAAAAATTTAACGTACCTTTATGTATTGCCAAAGTCACCGTTGCAATATAGAGAAAAACTTTCATCTTGGCTTTTACTACCTGAATTGAAAAATGAAACACCATTTCAAGACCTGGTTGCTGCATAATTATTATTTATCAAAACCGATGATTTTGAGTATCTGCTTTCAAGTACACCAGTAAACTTATAATGATTTAGGTCAAACAAGTATGAAATATATTTGCGATGCATACTTCAAGATAAATAGACCTTACAAAATTCTTATATCATCAAAGTTGCTATTCAAAGATTTACCTATAGCACAATTTTATGTTAGATTAGTCTAGAAAAAAATGATTTTTATTTATGTAAAAATAAGTGAGCTCGCAAACGCCACTGCATACATATAAATATATATACATTTAAATGCACAGGCACATACAATACATAGCAAAATAAAATAAACAAACATGTACACTTCACAGACAAATAAATAGACATACATATACAATCAACAGTCATAAACATACAACGACATGTAGAGTACACAGATTAATATCATTTACATGTTATAAGTTTATGTATAATAAATATAATTTTCAAAAAATTGCTTAAGGATTAAAATAACGAAAATGATGGATACAATACAATACAATACAATACAATACAAATACTTTATTCGCTTTAAGGCCTCCGGCCCATGCAAAAACATATATACAGAGAAACAATTTACACAAAATTATAGCATGTGCACAATGTTTAAACATATACTATATAAATTTAACTGAAAATAACTTTTAAGCATAAAAAAAAAAATTCTGGGAGTTTCTTAATTATCATTTTGTATCTAAGACATATTAATTGTTAATCTTCCTTTTTTCAAAAGCGTAATACAAAAATGTTGCTGTACCCTTTATAAGATCATCCTTTTTTGTAGACATTAATATATTAAATTTGTTTCGGGTTGGAGCATTTAGGTACTTAATCGGTAAATATAATTTTCTAAGTTCTGAATAAAAATCACAACATAGTAAAAAATGAAATTCATCTTCTATTACATTCTTAGAACATTTTGTGCATAATCTGTTTTCCCTCAATATCTTTTTATGTCTACCAACCTCAATTTCAAGATCATGTGACCCTATTCTAAAATTTGAGTATATATATCTAAATTTTCTAATGTCTAGAACATCTAAATAACATTCATATGAGAAATTTTCCTTAAACATACCATAAAAAGACAATTTTACATTAGAGGTTACAGATGAATGCCACTCTTGTAGGTATATATCTTTTAACCTATTTTCAAATTGTGCTATAAAGTATTTATCTGATGTAACAGATTGACTTTCCCATACATATCCAAAACCATGACTTTGTAAAATTTTTCTTAAAGATGTAACCCAATTGTCATGTCCCTGTATATCATCAGTGATACAAAGTGAGCCGCTCTGCAGACTAAAATTGTATTCAAAACATAATATTTATTGAGGGGAAGAACTCGTCAGAAATGAAAACTGTATAAAGTTAAAATTGGTGAATAAACATATAAAATTACCTTCAGCCACAGTTTTTAAAACCTTCGTATCTGAAATGATCCGGTATAATTGCCCTTTTTATCTGGATTGATAACTACAACTGGAAAAAAATGTCAAATAACTAGGCAGTAAAGGTATTTTATCTTTTATACACTTGTTTTTTCCGCCAAGTGGGGCATCTTTATCATTTGAAGTAATACAACAAGATTACGATGGATTTAAAACACATCAGCATTACACACAAACATTAGACATCCACGATTTAAGAATTTAAAACATATTATCTTTGGGTAGTGACCCTTTTATGAAGCACGATGTTCATTCTATTTTAGCTTGAACCCTTTTCTTTAAATTCATCAGCTTTATCTTTTTAAAAAAGTACTAAAATAGTTTTATCTTATGATACTTCAAACCTTTGTAAAAGATTTACTATGCTCATACAATATTTGTATTAGAAATCTTGGACACTATTAATGAATATATCTAGTCTGAATGAGTAAATGCACAAACCATGTCTATGGAGCTGCGTTTCCTTATACAGGTGGAGTTAATTTGGCCCCTTCCTAAAAATTTACCGTTTTTCGTTACTTTTTACTGACCCTTTGTATTCTTACTGTATTTATACTGTATGTAGTTTAAAACACGTACCATATTTTTCTGTGTTTACTCAAAAGATACTGATATTATAAATCAAAAGAGACTGTGTGGCATCTTTCAGTATTTTGTCAATATCAATTTTGCCCATGATATATATTTAACTAGCGGTTTAATTTTCTGATTATACTTAAATTGATCTTAAGCTTATTTTTCTAAACTTTATTACCAATACAATTCCTTTACATTTAACAAGACTTTATTTTTAAACTTTGTCTAAACAGATGTAACTCTTGTATCAAGATTGTTTTCGAGTTCGTTTACTTTTAAACTTAATTTGTTTCTAGTTAGTTACATTTTCATTGGTAATTGAAATAAAACAAAAACAACGTTAAGAAATATAAAGAACAGTACAAAACAGTGCAATACCAGCACAATTTTAAGAATTAATTGCATTCGTCAAGGTATCTAACTCAAGTTAATATAATACAAGATTAATTATTTGTGTTATTAGTTCTGGTATAATTTTATTCATTAGTTTGAGACAATTAGGAATTATCTGTTATAACCTACGATTTAAAGAAAACCCTTTCGATTATAACAAATATCTGGTTTCAGGACCAAATATACACCGTGTATATCCAGTAAAGCAGGCATGTGCAAATGACGCAGGAATTGTACAAAAGTAACGCAGAATTGTGTTATTTAGTGGCTAAAACGAGCACCGCGTTAAGTAATTGGACCAATAGTTTTTTCTTGTACACCAAATCGGAAGTAATGAATCAGCGCATATGGTTGCTGAGACATTATACTTTCAACCTCATCAAAAATATTTCCATGAATTTCAAAATGTTTAATTTTTACAAGATCATACGTGAAATGACGGCCTTACTAGCTTATTGATGGCGAATTTTAGTTTCATTGATATCTTTAGGTACAATAACATACATATTACTTTACGACATTTTTCTATTCGGTGTACCTGAGACATTTTCCAATCTACTTTTGTCATATGACACTTAATTGAGCAGATAAACCGTTATTGAAACCATTTTTATGAGGTAGCGCTGATTTCGTGAAAAACTCAGTGAAGCAACGGTGGTTATCTCATTAAAAGTAGTTTAATCTTATTTAACCAGCTTCCTTCTATTGTTATACGACACTTGTAGTTTGACAAATGTCTTAGGTATACATAATATTACAAAACATGTTTTAAATGTATTAAATGAACATATTTATTTGATGAAACACAAAAGTCACCTTCTAAACGGTAATCAGGTTGTCTTTCTCACGAATGAATAAAGAAAACATATTCCCCAAAAAATGTCATGCTGGTTAAAGTATAATGTCGTGTCAGCCGTATGCGCTTAATATTCATTTCTTTTAATTTGATTTAGAATACAATATTTTGATCGTTCACTTACTGTGTTATTCGTTTTGGCAATAGAGTTGTACAGATTCAGTGTTACTTTTAAGTTATTTGCACATTCCTGCGTTACTGGATATGTACGGTGATATAGCTTCGGGAAAGAACGAGGAAAACCAAATAAAACGACCTGTTATATCGGACACTATACTATAGATAACAATAAACCTGTACCTACATCAAACTTGTTTATGTGTCTTTGTGCAAATTCATTTGTAATATCATACATTTACAATAAACAAATAAAGGTTATACTCGACCGACAACGACATTATAAAGGAAACCCCTAGTATGTATTTATTTTTACAAAAGTATACGTTTATGTACATTTGCATTAGGTTGCAGATCCTTGAAACCATGTATACATTAATTTTGTAATGTCGGTTATATTTCGCATTATTGGAGTTTACCTGTATCTAACCATGTAAGAAAAGTCAACAGCATGGCGAAGTTAAGGAAATGTCACACAAACTGCTGCATGAATGAATACTTATGGAAAACATAAATTAGTTTTTATAAATTTATTACAAATACGTCTGATGAAAATGTGGATAATCTATTCATCACTTTTCATATAAATCATTTCTTCGTTTTTACATACAATTTAATCAGTAACATAAGCATAAAGAGTTTGAAATTTTTCCTCCTCTCTCTCACAAATTAAGATGGTAACTTTTAATGTCTAAAGACAAAAACCAATAGTTCAGTCATATGTATTGCAAAGTTCCCTTAGTTTACGGTATATTCGTAAAAGAGTCATTAATGAGATAAGCAATGTGGCCTACTTAAAATAGGCATTGACATTGAAAAATAAGATTAAATATGAAAATATAGTGATGTTCTATTATCATATAGTATCTTAATAATGACTTGCAAACGGGAAGAGTTTTCACGTACGTATGTAATTTAATATAAGATTTCGGTGATTACTTTGAATAATTCGATGTTACATTGCATAAGATTTAAACATTTGAAAAACACAGTGGTGGTCTTATGACATCGCAGTCATTTTTAACAACATAGGAGGACCTACGACCAAATCTAAGAAGCCTTATTGCCCATATTTTACCTGATATTGTTTTCAGGTATCATTTTAACTTGTGTTGGTACAAATTAAAATGTTAACATGAAACAGTCTCTCGTGTAGTATATCAATATAAAATATCACAACATTAGAATTTTAGAAGAAATCTAAAGAAGACAAACAGAAAATCTAAACTTACTAAAAAGATAAATTTAACCATTTTATTTTTAAATTAATATTAATTCGTTATTTTGTAACACGAAAACATCAGTTGTTGCCATTGCAAATGACTTATATCTTATCCGTGATTTCATTTTGTCTTTGACAGAATGACAAAGCCTACATTTTGACCTTATAGTGTAATGTATTGTCTAGATAACATTTGTTTACAAGATTGTCTACAAACAAATTAAGCTACTCTACTGGACAATAATAATTTCCTTGCCAAATTGGTCTTAGACATAATTATACTTCCTGTATGATGATGATTTGAGCGTCTATTCTGTTCTGGTCTGATGATTTGAACATCAGTAAACAACCTTGATATGACTTCATTTAGTATACTTGTAAAAGATACAGTATTTATGTAAACCTGAAATAATGCACACTTGCAACGTCGCTTTTCATTGGATAATCGTGATGTTTATATTATAAACCATGTACACATACAGCTGTAATTTTTATTAATTTTGTTTTCTCTCCGACGTTTGCTGTATTATCATTCGTTTTTAACTTTTTGAAGCTTATATCGCTGTATATAAAAATCAACAGAACAGTAACCAAGAGATTCGAGATAAATAATCAAACAATCTTATTTTATTATTGACAATATAAACGTAACAATCAACTCAAGTTTATTTTGACTTGAACTAAAATGATGCTTACTTATTTATCATTTTCTTTTTTTAACATTTTTTTTTGTTTGCAGGTTTGATGCCTATCATAGTACTTCTTGCATATGAGTATCCTATTGCAGGTGAGATAATGTGTTTTGAGTTAAAATAATTGTTTCACCACAGTGACGGACATAAATCTTTTTCATACACAGTACTTATGCTGTGTATGCATGTTCAGTAGTACTTTTAGTTTCTTCTATTTGGCCTTTTTCAACTTAGATGGTTCCATGATAACCGCCGTGTGAATACATCTGCGGATGTTTCTAAATTAAAACTTTCACCATTTTCATGTTTAAATGTTGAATTCTGATTAAGCCGGTGCTAGGGGTGTGGACAGTAACTTGCACTTTCCATTACCGTTCATTAACAGGCTGAATCAAACCGAGCCTGCAACATTTTCAATTTTGTCATTTTGTGCGTTCTTTAGGGATTCTGTTTTTTCTCTATTTTAATCTTATTATTTCAACCCTCCAGCATAAGGTAATCTTGGTTTACATGATATATATATCATGCATGTTCTTTGCTTTTCATCATGTAACATGCACCACCGTCGTGTCAAAACTGTCTTGCCAAACCCTTCAAAGCCCTACGATGGAGGTTCCACCTTTTATCAGTACAATAATGTTTATCTGCGCCTTTCCTGCACTTATAACAGATTCCCCTGGATAATTAGCGTCTTAGTTTCATATGGTGTGGAAAAGCGCTATTTATCGCATGAGAGACTAGCGAAGTTTAATTCATACGAAATTAAGTATTAGGCTCGCCATTTTAGGCGATAATTATCGAATGTTAAAATTTCTCGAGTCTCTTATGCGGGAAATAGTGACATTTTTTGTGGATGAAATAGGACACAGTACAAAACATGTGTTTTTAGTGTAAATAAGATAACCAGTGAATATGTATTATTGTATTATCTAAGTGTTGCCATGCGATAGAAAAGCCTACCAGTCACTTTGAATAAAACTGTACCATTGGAAAATGACACGTGTGCCGACATATGAAAAGGGCTCCTATTTAAGTTTTAACCGCGATATGACTGGAAATATTTTCGAGTTTTGTATTTCAAAAAAGAGATAATTTCGTGTAAAGTTCATGTTTTTGGTATGTCTTGAAACACGAATAACGTAAAGGTCAGACTAGTTTTAAAATTGAAATCGCTA